TTTTCTGAGCGCTACAGGACGTAGATGAAGGCTATTTGGGCTGTTTTTTGAGCCTGTTGCCAAGACAACATTAATGCAAACTAATGGGATATTAAATATTTAGTGTACATTACATGTACTTAGACTATTATATTTTGTATTGTGGATATGACATAGTCATTGAAGCCAATGATCCATTACAATAAATAAAATCATGTTTGCTTAGAACTACTCTGAATGTCTGTGTTCTTTGTTCAATGGCAACAAAGACGGCAATATTGCATTTGCTGTTTATTGTTTATCTGACTTCCCTCTATGAAGTGGTTGTTTAAGATTAACATTAAAAGTTCCCTCTCTGGTGCAGAGATTCATCATCAACAGTTATCAAAACCCTCATTTTTTCACTCCCTTTTCTTGTCAAAGACCAAATACAATCAAGCCATTTCATGTGTAAGAGATTATGTTCAGTTTACTGTTTGTGCACAGAATGCCATGTCAGGGAACTTATTTGAGAGGTTTATTAACAAATCAATATGATACCTTCTCTTCATTTGAGCTGGGGATGGCTATATGAGTGCCCAATCTGTCACAAAGTGAGTGGACACTTCTCCTCAACAGCCTAGTTTTGGTCAGCATATAGCAAGAGTGGTTCCATTCCACCCATCCCTCAGGGCAACAGGTGATCCTGTGAACGTGCCCATGTGTCAGCGCCAGTAAAGCAACGATGACGGTGACCACTTGGTATGCACCATTCACTGCCATATGTGATTTATTAAACATTGTTGTGGATCCTGACTTTCTCGCTCTTCGGCAATCTGAGAAAATGGTGTTGTGTAGGATTCACACTCCACCTGGGCCTTGTGAGAAAACCCGTAATTGCAAACTTTTCTGTTCAGCTTGATGCAGTTGTGAACCAGTCAAACCAAATAGCTATTACACGTACATGGTACATGTATTTTGGCTGGTAACCTAAAGAACATTCATGGCAGTGGGTCTGTTGATATCTAATGATGATATTGCAGCCACCCTCCAGAAGTCATTGTAGTCTCAAGATAGAGATTACCATTCACATATATGTATTTTGCTTGATATTGCATCTTTGGCAGGTACATGTAATTTGAAGGATTATCACCAAAACTAATTGCCTTTTATGCTTTATGCATCCAATCAGCACCAACCTAAATGCCACATACATGTACAAGAACACTACCTGGTTGTTGTTTTGAAACAAACAATAGAAAAGAAAACTACAATTTCATGCACCATGTTAGCAAGACGAGCCATCTAAGGTTATGAATTATATTGTTGATTCGCAGCATAATGGCCAGAGTTTGTTCCCTTACTAAAATCTCTGTTCAAAGTGCACCTGATTTGTTGAGGATTTTTACATTAAAAAATTATATGAAGTGTTTGAAGGACATGCATTCAGGGTGTCCAGTATTCTTTTATTCATAAAGGTTTAAAAGGGTATCTTTCATCTATTTGAACAGTCACACTTTTTTTTCAAACAACTCTAGCAAGAGATAAGTTGCAGCAGATAGTGACCATCGTAGAGTATACTGGTACAAATAACCACCCCATATTATTCAACGAATATAAAGCCATAGAGCACAGTTTCACAATTTAAAGTTGAGGATTATATTATCGTACTTGGTTTCTTCTAACTAGTATGTCACTTTAAAGGATGCAAGGACAAATTTCTGTCAACACTACTAAGAGTTGTTGCAATTTAAAAAGGTTTTCCTGCGAGTTCTGGTGCTTTTTTGAATGTTAGTATCAAAGCTTTTTTTGTGCAAGATACAAAATACATACATGTAGCTACCTGTGGTGATACAGCGTTAGTAAGCATTTGATTATAAATCAGCAATAAAGATCAGTGAATGTGCTTCTTGGAACCTACAGAGTTTATGGACGTCCCTTCCATTGATGTTGGGCAATACAGTAGCTCTTCTTTATAAGGAATAATGGCTTACTTTCTTCAAAAGTGTTTTGCTGAAAGTCAAGTAACAAAAGCCAGATGGGTTGAATTAATTTGTAGGGCCCTTCAAAGTTTTCAGGCTGTCAGCTGTTGCACATGTCTTTGTAATGATGTCATTAAATGGTCATAATGAAGGTCAGATGGCAATCTGCCCTGAATGGAAACAAAAGAGGGCGTGTTTTTAAATGAAATGAGCCATCATTTGGTACCAGCTCACTACATAGGTGAAGTTTGATATGGAGCAAGCTGAGTAACACATAGAATTTAATTCTGGAATTTATGGTCTTCATGTTATGTTAACACCTGCAAGAACCAGGTTGGAAAATTTCGTACCATCTGTCTTTCTTTCGCTAGTGAGAGTACACTTCTACTCAGGGCAGATAGGCATGTCCAACAATGAACCTCACCGCAGTAGACGTGTACATGTTTGGAATCGGTGTGGCGGTCTCAGCTATCTCCAGGTCTCAGCGGCCCCCCCCCGACGTAGCCGGACATTTCAGCACGACTCAAGCACGGTCTCGTTGGTCTTCCATGCTGAGTCTGCATGACTATCTCGCAGGGTACTATAAGTGGTGCTATTATCTTTGGTGTAGGCCTATGTACAGTACACGTCACATACAACGTGAAGCATGCATGGACTGCACTGCTCAGCACGCCACTTAAACGGACGACTTTCCCGTTGTTGTATGCAGAGATGGCATGACGTATTTTTACCATATTTGGTAAGGGGGGGCCGCTGAGACCGGGAGACAGCTGAGACTGCCATGCCGGTGCTGAATGTTGTACACGTGGTGAAGCACATGCAGTAACATCAAATTCTTGTCAGCAGTTTGTGCAAGATTGCATGCATTATATTGTACTTTCATCTCACACAATGAGAGTCCTTGGTGGTCATCCCAATAGCCATTTGGCAATAGACTTGCAAAGTCAGCTCCGGTGCCATCACCACTTCCTGGCCAGTCTTTTAACTGGTCAACCTCCCAGTTGCAGTAGCTAGTTGTAAGCCATGCCATCTTCACCACAAACCCACTCACCCTCTTTCTCACTGATGCAACTACCTTCTCTCGTACTAAAACATGTACATCACTATATGCAAAGCTATAAATCTATGGACCAACTGCAATGCCTTTATCATGTTAAAATGTTTCTCTTTTAAGATCTGGTCCTTTATAATAGTGAAGTTCAACTTTGTTCCAATTGGTCATCTGTCAGTGCACTGAGGAATGTGGAGCAAGATGTGTTGAACTTGTTTCCTGGGCACTTCACAATTTGCAGGGAATAGTTTTGAGATGCATTGTTTGAGTTGGCAGCTGCGGNAGCCAGGTTGGAAAATTTCGTACCATCTGTCTTTCTTTCGCTAGTGAGAGTACACTTCTACTCAGGGCAGATAGGCATGTCCAACAATGAACCTCACCGCAGTAGACGTGTACACGTTTGGAACCGGTGTGGCGGTCTCAGCTGTCTCCCCCCCCCCAATGTAGCCAGACATTTCAGTACGACTCAAGCACGGTCTCGTTGGTCTTCCATGCTGAGATGTCCGCATGACTATCTCGTAGGGTGCTACAAGTGGTGCTATTATCTTTGGTGTAGGCCTATGTACAGTACACGTCACGTACAACGTAAAGCATGCATGGACTGCACTGCTCAGCACGCCACTTAAACGGACGACTTTCCTGTTGTTGTACGCAGAGATGGCATGACGTATTTTTACCATATTTGGTAAGGGGGGGCCGCTGAGACCGGGAGACAGCTGAGACTGCCACGCCGGTGCTGAATGTTGTACACGTGGTGAAGCACATGCAGTAACATCAAATTGTTGTCAGCAGTTTGTGCAAGATTGATTTTGATGATTTGATCATTTGATCGATACTGCACAGCAATGGTGCCTTTGTTCAGCCACCACTACAATTACTCCGAATGCCAAATGCCTTAATAATTATCATGCCCAGTTCACCTACCAGTAATGAGCACCAGTGTAATTATTATAAACTGGGGTTGATAATAACCTGTTTATGTTAACCTGCACCATTGTCGGAGTCAGAGACAACAATGCCTTTGCAAAGAAAACATTTTGAAATACATGTACATGTATCACTGCATTCATTGTGGTGGCCAACTGATTGAAAACTGACCATTTTTTCCCCGAGCACCTGTCAATGTACATGTACATGTAGATGAAGGATTATGTTGTCTTCTGAGTCTCTTGCCAAGTTGCAGCAATGCAGAGCAGTTGTGTAGTTAGAGTGGGGTTCTGCAAAGGCAATTTCTATCATAATTTACATCCGGTTTGATATTCTGCAGAACACCAGTCAGAACATCTCACCAATCAAAGTCAATTTAGCTAGCAACCCCAGTGTCATTGTAACCTTGTTAGTGCTTCTTGCACATGAATACCATCA